TTCTTATAAGGAGAGCGGCAACATTTAACACAAGTTTTTCAAGTCTCCTAGTATCTATATATTGTTAGGGTAGCAACCTTCAGCATAAGCCTTGCAAGTTATATGGTTTCTCTTTCATTAAGAGAGTGATGAGCCAATCACTCAACATCACTTATGCATTATACTTCAATTATCACTGAATACCTATAAAAAATTGACATATGTTGTTTATCATAGGTGTCGTGTATGTCATCCATATTTCCAATCTTTTGATCACCTTTCCTATCATATGAATAATTAAATAGTTGATTTGCCAGCAAACAAACATGTTCAAACATTCCTCCCCAATTATCATCCAATGCCAACAAAAGATCAGCATCCAATATCCATTAGCCACTGTCTAATGTCTGCATGCCTTCTCGATCACTCTATCTCCCATTCCTAGCTCAATCAACAACTAAGTCTTAATTCCAAACAAAAACAAATGTCTAATGTTCTTCAATAAACAAAGTTTAAAATTTATATTCTAAAATGATCATTTCTCTCATTCTATTAATAAAACAATCCAATCAACTACCCATCATTGCTAAACTTCCAACAATACACATTTATCATCACATAATATCTTTATTTAATGTTGTTCAACACTCAACAATTATTAATGTTTTAAACATCCTTTCAACTTCCCATTGTACATGTCATTTTATGTTTTCCTATATCAACACATTGAATTTTCATCCATCTCACAAATTTAGCTTTCAATGTATGCAAAATCTTGATTTTATAATGAATTTTTCTTTGGAGGTTTCATATCAAGTTGAGACTTTTTTTCTTAAACTCACGCAACACTCATATGTGTTGAACTTTGAATTTAAGATCATATATATAGTAAGCCACAAACCACCAAACAACTAGGCTAAGTATGCTTCACATCTCAAGTTGGGATGGTTTAAATCGAGCACTTCTAAGGTTTAACATATACAGTTAAACATTTAGAATTGTATTTAATACATGAGCAAAACATATTTAATGTTTATCAATCCAAGAGCTAAAGTAATTCAATAACTCAATATTATTGATTATCACATCATTATTGTAATTCATTAATCATAATTTGTAAATGATGATTGTATATATATATATATATATATATATATATATATATAAACAAAAACTCAGCTCTTATAAATGTTATTCTTTGAACTAATTAAATATGTTTAAGTACTACAAATCTCTTATAATCTCATTGGGATCCTTAATTATCTAGTTGATGTACTACTTTTTCTTATATAAATTATGCTAGACACAAGCTACTTACGGAATATCAATAATGCATAGTCATGATATCATCCCTATCATCAATGAAAGTTACTGAACCAAACCCCTTAAACTTTAATTTGTTCCTTGCTTGCTATTTTCTATCTTTATAGATGTGCCACTATGTATAATAACATAGGTCATAATGCATTCCCAAATTTGTTAAACTACTCTATAAAATCTAAATATATTTCTCAATTGTCGTTCTTTTTTAACTATTACAATTGACCATGTTATGTTGTTTACAATGCATTATCTTCCCTTCAATAATGGAAAATGCTAAGCTACATGCTCATCCTCCCAAGAACTCTAATTTTCCTTATTGATCAATGAATGATGCCTATCAAAAATCAACAAGTGATTCTTTTTGCCATCAACATTTGATACCTATTCTCTTGGTCATCTTTTATCCTTTCTTATAAGAGAGAGTAGCCAACTTGATTGCTAAAGTATGTAAAACATTATATTTGTCAAGAAATACATACATCTAACACATATCTTCTCCATCCATTTATATTTATGCTTATTTGAAAAGTGATTGAGTTAGGAATCGATTATCACCTAACTTTTAATTTTCATTTTTGATCATTACATAATACATGCTAAAGAATGACAATTCAACATTCATCAACCATTGACACTCGACGCCTATCTTCTAATTTGACCAATCTCAGACCAATGTAATAATCCATCATCGTTGAACTACGAAACCTCAAGAAGACTCCTACTTCAGAACCATCACATAATATCAATTATAATTAACATTCGGTTTATTGTTTTAACTTTGTTTCTAATTTTAGAAGGGACTTTGTTTACTATTATTAGCACATAAGCATAACTATTTAAACTGGGTTGTACTCCATGGGCTCTTACCTTACACAAAATCTAATAATTTAGAACATACTTTCAACTAATTCACGATTGCAAAATTTTTATCTATGCCAAAATAAAAAAATTCTATCTATGTTACCAAAAATGTTTTAGGAAGAAATAAACTTTTACAAGTAAATTAGTTGCCAAGTACTTCTAATTGAAAATGTTATATATCATCTCTACACAAATTCATTATCCTCAAGATAATTTTACTTGATTAGAGTGCGATCTTCTACAAAAGCACACATAATAGTCATACTCTTCCATTGTCTTCAAAGGAGAAATAGCTACAAAACTCTCATAATCTCCAACAATAAAACTAAAAAAGTCTGACTCAAATTCAATATATCATTATAAGAAAAAATAAATATAATTATCTTAGTGATAAGCTCACACTAATATTTGAAAAGAAAGAAAAAGTTAGTTCAACGAATTAGCTAACCACACAACTCCAACATTAACTAATAATCACTATCTGAGAAAAAATTATTAGGTACATATGTGAATTTTGTACTACTTTTTATTGTATTAATTATATTGATACAATCAAAATATAGTGAAATCTACACTCATGCAGTAGATAACAACCATCATCTCAACGATAGGCTCACGTTCCTCTTTGAAAAAGAAAGAGAAAGTTAATGCAGCCAATTAGCGAGCTACACAACTCGCACAACCGTCAAAAATCAAAATCGTTAACGAACAAACCTTGCCAAGTTTTCCACCGTCATCATTCCTCCCCTTATGCAACAAAAGTCGCAAAATATGAGGTCCACAAAACACTAATTAATGGCACTAATTAAGCAAAATAAGGCCAAAATGAACGCCGACCCCTCCATTAAAAAAAAAAAAAAAAAAAAAAAAAAATCAAATCTCTCAACGTGGCAAGGTAAGTCGGCAAAGTAAGTCATAATAAAAAATGGAAATAGGGAGTGATTTATCCTCCCCAAATCACACAGTCATGATGGAAAATGATGTGGAGATGAGAGAAGAGATGAGAAGGTGTGTACCTGGGCGGTGCTCGGCTCGCGGTGATGTGATCACCGTCCGTCTACCCCCCTGCCGCAGATTTCTGACTATTTCCCCTCACCATAATCAGATATGCTGCTTACTGCCATTCATTCAACAATGCAGTACTAATGGCGATTTCGGTCGCTTTCATTGCCCACAAGTTGGATGAAAAGCTTTATAGCTAGTTTAAGCATGTGCGATGCTAAGAAAGGTCAAAGCATACAATAACCACAATGCTACCAAACCCAATATCCAATCTCAAAATTGACAAAATAATAAATATTTTTATAGTCGACAAACAACAATTTGATCTTAAATCGAATTTGTTCTATTTGATGACTTGATCTCAAGTTGACCTTTATCTAGTTAACCTATTTCTCGATACGTTTTCGGTCCGATTCATGCATGGCTGATTAACTTTCTCTTCCAACAAATTATGATCTTATCTCGATTAATTGTTGATCCTCCATGACAGCATGATCTCCAACATAATATATTTGACCAAACATATGTGGAGCACTTGTATGGATAAATATACACATGAAATTTATATTCTTAGTTGACCTTAAGACTATTATACATAAAATAGTACTAATTACTCTCATATTTGTTGTAGCTTTTTGAATATAAAGGTGACAAAATTGACAATTTGGCTTGGTAATGTGCGCACAGAGTGGCACCTACATAGCATGCCAATAATGGTCGGCACTGCCCACCCAATATTGGACAGACAAAAGACATTAATGAAGTTTGTTTGTGTTAATGGATGTCATAGGAACTAATGAATAAATTCATAACATTAATGAAAAATTAAACTATGATTTTAAAGGGACCAAATAGAATAAAGGCCATTTTGGCATGACATCTCATATGTGGACCATATATCATGCATAAGAAAATAAATGAATAATGATAATCTAATTACATCATCTTTTTGGAGATGCATTGAACGTGCACATGTGTGTTAGCAATATAGTTTTTTAAATCCGGAATTTAGCATTTATTTGATGGTTATGGGAAATTGGACTTATTTTTTTAAATATTAATTTGTAATTTGTAATTATCATTGTATTTTATTATGGTAAAAATAAAAAAAAGGGCTCATCACACAGTCCTTGTATATTTACTTAGGTAATACCTAAAGTTTACATTTTTACATTTATTTCTCCAAAATCTTTCAAATCACATCAAAAATTTCACTATTTCTAATTAAGAAAAAAAAAAGTAAAGTACACATTTTCATGCATAGTTATGCGTTGTGGTTCGAATTGGCCCGTGGTAGCTCGTTATAATCGATTATGAGTCAAGTCGGCTCGAAATTGAATCAAGCTCAATACGGCTCGAAATGAAAATGAACGGCCTCAAAATAAGTTATTTGGATCCGTTTAAACCCAAAATCGGCTGGAATTGACTCAAATTAAAACTAACTAGAGCTAATTGAGTTATTTGTGTTCTTTTGAACTTGAAATCAGCTCGCAACTCATTATATTCATATTTACTTAGCATTATAAATATAGTTTTTATAAATAAAAAATATTACGAGCTGAGCTCGAGTCAGTTCCAACAAACACATGTATGACTCAAAAAAAATTCAATCCAAATGTTCGGCTCACTTTTTTCGATCCAACTTAAAATTCAAATCCATTTTTGATGATTAATGTTCTTCACCTAAATTCAGTCTTATTAAAAAATACGATTATATATATTATATATATATATATATATATATATAAAATGAGAGTGTCATTTATTTATTTATTTATTTATAGACATTTCGAAGAAATTAATCATCGAGCCCTGGCTCGCCGCCCTTGAGATTCCAACACGTGGACTTCTATTAGCTGGCCTGATACGGCCTCCCCCTCCATCACCTTTACCAGCAGACCTCTCGTCTCTCTCTCGGTCTTCCCAAATCCCCATCGCTCTTTATATATTACTTCAAATTCGAAAGCCTCCCTCCCCACCTTCACTGTCACCCGCTCACCCTGCTCGCTCTCTCCCTCTCTCTCTGCCATGTCTTCTTCCATTTCTGCATCCATCTCATCCAACCCAACCCAGAATCTCCATCACCGTAAACGTCGCTGGACATCTCCGTTCATCAAACTCAATCATCCGAACTCCATCACCAAACCACCCGGCCACCGCCGGAGTTTCCACCCAACCACCACCCATTGCACTCTCTCCTCCCATTCCCTCCTCGAACCTCCCCCATCCCTCTACAATCACCATTCCCCGCCCTCCAATCTAAATCCCTTCCAGCTCGCCGCCGCCGCCGCACTCGACGCCGTCGAAGATCGATTCATCTGCAACTTACTCGAACGCAATCATTCCCTTCCCAAAACCCTAGACCCCAACATCCAGATCGCCGGAAACTTCGCCCCCGTCGGCGAGACTCCCCCGCGGCACAACCTCCCTGTTTCCGGCCAAATTCCTTCGTCTCTCAACGGCGTCTACCTTCGCAACGGCGCGAACCCCCTCTTCGCCCCCCGCGCAGGTCACCACCTGTTCGACGGCGACGGAATGATCCACGCCGTGAGGTTTCGCGACGGCCGCGCCTCCTACGCCTGCCGATTTACGGAAACAGAGCGGCTTCGGCAAGAGCGAGCCAAGGGGCGCGCTATCTTCCCGAAAGCGATCGGCGAGCTTCACGGCCACTCGGGAATCGCACGTCTGCTCCTTTTCTACGCGCGCGGGCTCTTCGGTCTCCTCGATCCCTCCAGCGGCGTTGGTAACGCGAACGCCGGCTTAATCTTCTTCAACAACCGCCTTCTCGCCATGTCGGAAGATGATTTGCCCTACCAAGTTCGCGTCACTCGAGCCGGCGATCTCGAGACGGTCGGACGGTACGATTTCGATGGACAGCTGAAATCATCCATGATCGCGCATCCAAAGCTCGATCCAAAAACAGGGGAAATCTTCGTGCTCAGTTACGACGTAATCAACAAACCCTATTTAAAGTATTTTAGCTTCTCCCCCACCGGGGAGAAATCCGCCGACGTCGCAATCCCGCTGGATCAGCCCACGATGACGCACGACTTCGCCATTACCGAAAATTTCGTCGTGGTGCCGAATCAGCAGGTGGTGTTCAAGTTGCAGGAAATGATCCGGGGAGGCTCGCCGGTAGTTTTCGATAAGGAGAAGACGGCGCAGTTTGGTGTTCTTCCGAAGCGCGCCGTTGATGACTCCGAGATGGCTTGGATCGACGTCCCGGATTGCTTCTGCTTCCATTTCTGGAACGCGTGGGAAGAGACTGAAACAGAACAAATCGTCGTCATCGGTTCCTGCATGACGCCGGCCGATTCTGTCTTCAATGAATCATCGGAGAACCTACGGAGCGAGCTCACCGAAATCCGCCTCGATCTAAAAACAGGGCAATCGACTCGACGGCCTATCGTCCGATCAGCAGGGCATGTCAATCTCGAAGTCGGGATGGTGAACCGCCACCATCTTGGCCGGAGGACTCGATACGCGTACCTCGCGATAGCGGAGCCATGGCCGAAAGTCTCCGGATTCGCAAAGGTGGATCTCGCCTCCGGCGAGATGCAGAAATTCGAGTACGGGGAAATGAAGTTCGGCGGCGAGCCGTATTTCGTGCCGGCGGAAGGGGAGGAGGAGGAGGAGGACGAAGGTTACGTGATCGCGTTCGTGCACGACGAGCTAAAGTGCAAGTCGGAGCTGCTGATAGTGAACGGGAAGGAGATGAAAGTGGAGGCGGCGGTGAGGCTGCCGTCGCGAGTACCTTATGGATTCCATGGAACCTTTGTGGGGGAAGGGGAATTGGAGCTCCAGGTATGATCGAGAGCAGATTCATGTCAATTTTGTAGTGCTGGAAGCCACCGGAGGGGTGGGCTGCATTGTCCTGCTTCTGCTTCTGCTTCTGCTTCTGCTTCAGAAAGTAGGTACATACATATCTACTCTATATTGTTCTGGTTTGTTTAGGTATATAATGTGAAATCTAGTAGTTTGGCTGTAGTGATGTAGCGGGTGAGGCCAGTTCGTAGCGGTTGGGAGCTCAGCTGGTCTTTTTATTTATATTTATTTATTTTTATAATTTTTGCTGTTGTCTGTTTGTGCATAATAACATATGGGAGGGTAGGAGGGGGGGTCAGGAGTTTCTCTGTTTATTCATTTTGTAAATTCTAATTTATGCTTTTATTTAAATATATATTTGCTTTACTATTTGTATGTGCACCACTATATTTCACTGCCTTGCTCCTCCTGGACGTATTATTTTTTTGGGGTATTTACATACATTGTACATGCCACCTAATTTTTATGTATTTACATATATAATATCAATATTATCATTTTGATTTTAGATATGTAAATACATAAGAATTGTATTTTTTATGGTAGGCGATGATTACATAATATTATTATTAAATTTGAAGGACGCATCCAAATGGTATGATGCATCGCAAATATTTTTACTTGCGTAATAATTTGACCTCATTTTTTTTTTGTGTAATTCTTGAGAGGCTCGTTTAGGGTTAGTTAGGGGCAGTTGTAGCTATCAATAATTTGTTGATAGACAGCTGATCCAGATAAACTGATTGGTTGTTTGGTTTTCACGTTTGGAAAACAGTTGATTTGCAGTTGTTTCTAGATAAATGATCATTTTGTCCATGATTTGAATAAGTTGTCTAGCAGTTTGATTTGTGCGTTTAGAATACAGCTGTTTTGTAGTTGTTTCTGGATAAATGATTATTTTGAAACTAAATAAATAAGAATTTTAATGAGAATAACATGTCTCTTGCATAATTAAATTAAATAAGTTTGTAATCAAATCTCATATATTATCAAACCTTAATCAATCTTCTTAATGTGCTTGTTCAAGAATCTTAAATGAAAAGTTCACGGTCCTAAACAACATGAACACCAAGGAATTCAAGCCTTTTCATTTATCACTCACATATTCATAAAACTAGTCAACCTTTTTAAATTTTCAATTAAACGTTCATGAATGAGCTTTAATCAAGTCCAACCACTAGTAGCTTATCGAGTTCATCGATTCATTCACAGCTCTTGGCGTGAAAAGGATTTCATAAATGACAAGACAAATATCTAAGCTAGCATATATGCTTCAACACATTATAAAAAAAAAAAAGTTAGATTAACATTCTGCATTCCTCATGACATACCCAAAATATATGCCCCCAAAATAATTTCATAATAATATGTATATTCCATCTTTATTTTGGATTGGGAAGGTCAATCCTCGAAACCCGTAAGGAAGGAAACAATGTCCCCAGTCGTTGCCGAATGGGGGAGTAGGAATGCGCAGCTAGGGCAGGACGTGATCGAATGGAGCGCCGAAGAAGCAGCTCGGCGCAACTAGGGCAGAATGCGATCGAATGGAGGGAGGCTAGGGTAGGACACGATCAAATGGAGCGAGGGTAGAGATGGGATACTATTTCATCGAATGCAACCCGCAACTACATCCCAGGGGTCGCATGATTAATAAATTAAAAATGACAGATTTTCATAAGTTGTTGAAACCTATTTTCCAAACAATGTGGTGACGTTTTCTAAATGCTGTTCACACTTATAAGCTACCCCAAATGAGCCCTTAGTTAGTATCTCGTTGTATGACATGGATGTCGAGACAACTTTTTGAGCAACAAACATTGAGTTAGAGAAGCAAGTAAACATTGAGTTTGAGAATAAACTAGATCCCTCGGATCTAAGAAAATATTCTTTTTTTCTTGAAATTTTTTTAATTAAGCCTATTAACACTTTAATACTTTTATATATTATAAGTGATCTCATTTGAAGCCACATAAAATGATAATAATAATAATAATAATAATATGTGATTGATTCACATGTCTAATATGAGAGTGCGCGTACTCACAAACCTCGCTCCAAATTCCATTGTTGTTTGTGATCCTTCCTGGTGCCATTAACGCAAAAGCGTCCATTAAAATAATGCATCATCAACTTTGACCTCTATAAATAAAGACTACAATTATCAGCCTCAAGATGCGCTGTAAGATTCTAAACAGCACTCTTTTATTTCAATTCCTTCTCGTTCTTAATCAAAATTCGAATCAATTGTCGAGCAATTCAATTCACTAAATTCACAGTCATATGTTGTTAACGGTCTGATTTCGAGCCGCGCTGTGGTCGGCTCGAAAAAAATTCGGTCTAAACTTTTGGCTTGCAATTTTGCTCGTTTATTTCGAGTCAAAATTCAAATCAATCTTTAAGCGATTAATGAATTAACAGCCGCACACGTGTCTATTGGGGCCAAATCTATGTAAATTTTCAGAATAATTTTTAATTTTATATTTTATAGCACTGTGAATATTATACTTGAATAAAAAATCAAAGTGGAGACCGCGTTAGGCGAAAAACTATATGTTTTCTTAGCCAGCCATGCAAACAAGCATAAAATAAGCTTAAAAAAGTGGAATGCATATATATATATATATTAAAAATCAAAAATTTATAATGCATTTTACGTTCGAAAGAGATAGAACGCGTCTTCTTTCCATCATGCTTTTTAAATGCTTTTTAAAGAGCAAGAAACTACAATCTTTTATTAAAATAAAAAAATTACCGACTTTAAATAAAATTTTTTTTAAAAAAATACTAAGTTAAAATAAAAAATAAAAAAAATAATAAATAAATAATGCTAATTTTTGTATCAATGTTTGCATAATGTGAAACATAATATGAAACCATATAATAATGTCATTTTGAATTTTCTCATTTGGATTTGTGTCTGTTTTGTGTTGTGTTTGCATGCCGACATTAATATAGCTTTGTGTCGATGCTAACGACTTACTTCGGAAAATTTTAGATGCAGCATAATTACTTAATAGTGTCGATTGGCCGAATAGTGTGGCCGGTGTGCTAGCTAATTTGTGTCGGCAATCGCTGCCCTAAAGTTCAGATCCCATGCGAGCTAGCTTCAATATTTGTGCTTCCACTCTTCAATTGCTTTAAGGTTCCGACAACGACTCTTCTCCACAAATAGGGGTGTAAACGAGCCGAACGCGAGCGAACCTGGACCCAGTTCCTGTTCTGCGCGTTAAAAAATATCACTGTTCGTGTTCGGCTTTTTTATATATCGAGCTCAAAAATATGTTTGTGTTTGGCTCGTTTGCTTATCGAGTTGAACACGAGCTATTCACGAATAATGAGCTATTTTGACAATCCTAATCACACGGTCGTAGGATGGTAAAAGTAGGATGAGATTTAAATATTATTTTATTAAATTGTTCATTTAAATAAAATTTAATATATTTTTATTCTATTTTTACTTATTAATTTTAATTGCTTATAAATTTTTATAGCATTGTTGTTAATTAAATTATTTTAAAATAATACTCATTATATATATAATTACTTCAATTCAAAACGGTCGAACATGATCGAACAAAATTTTGTTCGTGTCCGACTCGTTCATATATCGAGCGCAAAAAAAAATTGTTCCCATTTTTTTTATTTTTCTGGATTTGTGTTGTTTTTGTGTAAGAATTGAACTTTAGACGTTGGATATGTAATACACGAGAATTGAGTTGAATGTTTGTTAAAATTAAAGTTTAGGTGTTAGTTATGTCATACATTGTAACACATTTGGGCAAGTTGATCATATCATGGGCATCTTCTCATTATCAGAGAAAAAGGCAAAAAGACCAGCATAATATGAGGACTCGGGGAGCTGCGGGTGTCGCTCTCCATATTTGAGGATCGATCTCGCACATAGAGCATTGCCGAAAGTTGGTAAGTTTCACTAAATACTCAATAATTCAATGATGCAATTATAAGAAACTTACTCTTTTTTCATGTCGACGGGCTAAGGAGCTTGGCCGGCCTCCCACCACTGCAGAGTCGCTTCTCCACACATCAGCGCCCAAGGATGAACTAGCGGGTTTCCAACTCCTCTCGTCATGACAATGTAAGTAACAAACTTTGTTTTTAATGTTTTTCTTACATTATTAATGTAAAATATCAATTAGTCATTGGTTTTATTTTATAAGATTGTTACGAGCATATTCGAGACACGTGGATCCATAAACAAAGCCAGAGCCCGACAACCACTAGTAATAATGGTAATCAGTTTACCACTAAGCACTCTAATTTTGAGATGTGAATGTAGTCGACAGGGAAGATGAAGGGATGTGTGTACGGCCTGGGCAAAAAGGGTTTTTGCATTTGAGGTTGAGCACTCTCGAATTGCGCAATGTGATCTGAGGTAATCATCAATGGAGAGTGATGAACTTCTCTAGCGAGTTAGTGTTATGATGAATGAGCTCTATCAACATGAGGAGATTATAGATCACTGATTGCGGCACAACTGGAGCAGATCATAGATCGTTGTTGCAAACGGCCTCTTAGTTTAATGGATGAAAAGGAGGGGCGAGAGGAGGTGGAGGAGGATGATGAGTTGGTTTTTTTTTAGTATTTGGACATTGTCCTCTGTACATATATTTTAGTTTTATATTATAAATTATGTTCTATGGGTACTGTTATGAATTTTGAATAATGTTTGTCTACTTATTTTTATTATCAATACATGTTTGTATAATATGTTTTGTCTTGTGTTGGTGATAATTAAAAGCTTGTGATATTTGTAATGTGCATGTTGTAAAAATCAGGATCATCCTTTTTTTCTCTCATTTTTTTTAATTTGCTACAATTTTGCATCTTTGTTGCATCGAAAATTCCCGATGCTAATATCTTCAAAACATTTAACCGCTAATCCATCTCTCCGACATAAATGGTAGGTGAAAATGATAATGCAAGTTTATGACTGCAAACGAGGGACGCAAATTTCGTAGTTAACGTTTACGTCAGTATGAGTCACGTCAAAACCGGCTAAAATTAACAATGTCGGGCGCCAGTATCAATGGAATTTATTTGCGTCGGCCACAAACAATGCTAAATAAATTTTGGATGCCCGTTTCTGCGTGGACGATATATCTCACACAAATTCGTTGCTAATAATGTTTTGCATAAGATTTTTGGCAGATTAGCGTTAGAATTGACCGACTCTAATTTGATAAAATCCTGCAGTTACCTTAGCATTTGAAAAAACACGAGCACAATGCAAAATAGAGAAATAAAAACATGTGGAGTAAATAATAACAAATAAAAATAAGTTGACGACTATTTTCACATTAAACTATGAGTGTTAATAGCTGAAGAGACTAAGCATTGGATGAAAGGCACCGCTCAATGGCATCATGTCACACACGAGATTAAAAATATAATAATACAAACCATGCATGATAGATAGAACTAAAAACTAACGACAGAGAATTAGTCGAGATACTTAAATCACATTTGTTTTAGAGAAAAAAAATCATTTCTCTTGTAGAGGAGAACAAAAGACGACAGAAGATAGCGTGGATCGCACCACACTACCAGACGCACGACATAATATGTTTTCTTCCAAAAAAAACAATGTGAAAATGCTATCATCCTTACATAATTGCACTTATGTTGGCAGCTCTCTCTTCCACAAAAAGAGTTAAAAAGCCATCTTAAGGAAAACCTAAATACCTCTCATAATTTTAGTTCGTCAAATCCTACTAATTTTTGTAGAATTCGAGCGAAGCTCAAGCAAATTGATTTTCGCAACACTTTAAATAAATAATCACACCATTAAAAACCACTATTATCTTCATTGCAACGGTTTTTAAGCCACTGAAAATTGATGAAAAGACTTATCCCTACTTTAGGAGAAATTATTAGCTGCAGATAATATATGCATGCAGATTTCAGTAAAATATAGTCGTGTTACAACGAATACAATCATATTGTATTGAAATCTGCATATATGCAAATTCGGCACCTAATAATTTTTCCTACTTTAAAGGGAAAAAGTTTCTACAATAATAATTATTAAAATTGTTAAACAATTCAATTATAACTTGTTTTTTGCATTATGCATATAATAATATAAAACCTATTTAGATTTTATAATTATCCCTCTTTGAGTGGCTATTGCTGCGCCACGTCAGCCATCGAATCACAGCCGTCAACACAACAAATTATCGTGCATGGTTGACTCAAGTTTTATTCATACTTAAATAACATGAAATTATAAAAGTCAAACTCCTTTGGACCCGTTGACCAATTCCCCCCACCAAACAAAAGATTTAGAAATTATCATTATTTAATGAATAATAAGAGGGGAAAAAAATAATAGAGCCGACAAAGTGTGCTGAAAAGAGAATAAATGGAGGTCGATATCTTAATCATTATCATTATCACTAATCTTATCTTAATTAGTATTATAATTAACTAATTAGGTAGGTTTTACAAAGTCAAATATTTTTTTTTAAATTAGTTATGTTTGAACAACTAAGCAAAGATAGTAAAACTTATTCTTCACAGCTTATATCAATATCAATATTTTTCTTCTTAATATCATCTTATCTCAATGTGGTTCACTTATAAACATTTTTTAGTTGTAAATTACAATCAAGGAGCTTTAAAACCCAAATATCTTCAATTATTTTTAGCTCAAATGGATGTCAAATACTTAGATTTATTTATAATTGTAATTTTTAAAATATCTTTAAATTTTCATGGTCTTGTCTTACTGTATAACACTCATAAATAAATAAAAATGTTATTATTTATATTTTTTTTTAATATAAAGATCTAAGATATTAGGTATGGCTAAATGCATCCACAAGTTAAGAATATAATAACACAGCCGACCATATTTCATGACATGATCAAAAAGTAATGCTAATTAGCAATGTGCTTAGTCTAAAAGCTTGGATATAGCATAGCGTTTTCGGGTTTTTTTTTCTTAATCTCAACCTAAAGTTAAGAGTAAGTGTCAAAATAATTCCCGATAATTTACAAGAGGTCGTTTTAGCATTGTAATTTATATATAATGATGCTTTGTTTATTAGCAATAAATTTTTTTTGAAGAAAAAATTGATCGTAGTGATCTACTTAATAAAAAAAATAGTCAACTCAACTTGACTCATCTATCTTTATTAACAACCATGAATTATGCCGTCCAATGCTATCTTATAAACTAAACTTTATAGCTTTAAAATAAAAAATAAAAAATATATATATTGAGCATATAATATATGATTTTCATGGAGACAATATTAATAAACAACATTTGTTATTATTAAATATGAAGATATAGCTAACCATGATAAATTTAAATATCACACATCTGTTATATAGAATGATTATTCACATGCTAATATAACTTTAAGATAGCTAATACAGAAGTGCCTTGAGAGTTATAAATGATATGATGATACCATGAAAGCACATCCGGCGGAAATCTCGTGCTGAAAAAACCAATACATGAAATGACTCAACATAACCAGCAAAAATTTCTTAGGGGCATTTACATACATACCACATGATTCCTATGTATTTGCATATGTAGCACCTAATGTTTCCTTTTAACATTTATACCACCCTAAGATTTCATATCACAAAAAAAATATCACTATTTTAACTTTTAAAAAAGTGGAATGCATGCACAGGCAAGGCGGCATATATGTAAAAATTGCCATTTAAATGTTGGATGTATAAATACATAGGAATTAAGTTGTATTGGTATGCCGGTAAATTTTCCAATTTCTTAATGGTAAGAAAGCTTCATGGACCATAATAGAGCGTTTCATTTGACTTGTCATTTTGGCAAACCGAAACCACATATAATTTAGCAGAATTTACATACATAGCACACAAATCTTATGTATTTACATATCTCACACCTAAAATCACATATTTACATACATATATGCATGAAAAGGTGTATTTCACTTTTAAAATGTGATAATAGTGCTATTTTTTATGTGACATTAACGACAAAGTTTAATTTTCAGATACGTAAATACAAAAGAATTTCGTGCTCCGTATGAAAATGCCCATATAATTATCTAGCAATGCAAATTAGAACATACCTAACATTACCTTTAACCTACATCCAAAAAGTGGAATACAATATATGAACCTTGGGCAGTAAGTTGGATTGGGTTATGAGTCCACAAATTAGTTCAATTAAAGCTTCTTTCTTCAACCAGCAACAATCTTAAAGCACAAACATGTAAAATGTTTTAGAAAAGCAAGATGGTTTAGGGCTTTAGCTTCACCTTCCTATCGAGCAAGATTGCTGGCATTGCAACTCGGAAGCATGAGTTTGGTTCGGATAATTGATAGGAGCGCATAAAATGGACCTGTTGTTAAGCTCATAGACAGGTGCTTCATTGTAAATCAAGGAACTCATATGTCAAGCCTGCAAAATAAGGAACAAGTTTGGGGAAATTCACATGCAAATCACAAATTGTTTATTTAATCACATATCTAACACTCATAGTTTGATATTTACATTTTTAACACATTGGTGTCACAAAATTATGCATGAAAAGGCCTATTTCACTTTTAAAAATATAGTGATTATGATATTTTTGATGTAATGTTAAAGATTAGAGTGGTATGTCTGTAAATGTCCAAAATGCTTTAGGTTTTCAGTTGAAAAGGAATGTAAAGAAATTTCAGTAACTCAGATGTAATTATCTGCCACCAAATGTCCCCTAAAACTACGAAATTGTTAGTTTGCTGTTGAAATTGAGATGATGGGTGAGATGCAAGGGAAAAAATTGTTCTTATAAATCTATTTTTTGTAGAATTTTCTCTAAAATTTCTTGTTTTCTTACATTGACAATAAAGCATTTGCAAGAAGCAGGAAGCTGATATTTGCAAACAATCTAGAAATTTATAAGAGAATTGCTCCAAATGAAAAACTTATTATTGCTCTTAAAAAATAAAATGTTGCAGGAGATTGATATTGTCTACCAGCTCACAATACCTTTTTCGGACTTATCATCGAATGATTGCTTGATATAGATGTAATATATGCATATAAAAAAACTTCTAGAAAACTATGGGCATTCAAATTTAAAAATATCACCTTTTTACAGATTTTCTAAGTCTCAGGGCTAGGGTTTCTGACAGATTTTCTACCTCTCGAATTGTAGAATTTAGGAGAGATCGCCAACATCTCAAATTGTAGTAGGTGTTTGTCTTTTATGAAATTGTGTAAGTTGTGTGATGTTATACTGCTTTGATTTGAGATTAGTGAAATAAAATAATTTATTTGCCCCAATTTCAATGAAAATTCACCTTGGATGTATCACATTATTATCAGAGCGTCAAAAGATTCTAGGAAGAAATAAAGATCGCGGCATGCCTCATGACGATACGATCGCAATTCAAGCTAGCTGTGAAGTCGAAGGGAGGGTCGTGGCTTAAAGGTTCTGATCGCGGTAATTTGAGCCTGCGACAATCTCATCTTGCCTTTCTTTGTTGTGCGCAGCAATGACGAGATTGCAGTAATCTAAGCTAACAACAGTCTCATCACGTGACTGTCTCGCCTTTCTCTCCCGTACAGCAATGATGGGATCACAATAATCTAAGGCAACGACGGACTCATCCGGACTTTCTCCATCGAGCATTGAACCACCTTTGTGATCGAACCCCATGATGCAATCGCAATAAGAGTTATCCAAGGATTGGCATGATCCGGGAACACTGACTTGCAATACGGTCACGATAAGAGCTAACTAGGAAGCCAAATGATGGGAGAAATAATCGCAAGAAAATGGATGCTTTGTAAGAGAGATTGATAGGAGAAGCAAGGCAACTTACACCCAAAATAGAAGTGAGGTTTTCAACCATAGAAGAAAAGTTTTCCTCAATTGAAAATCGATTTGAGAATTTGGAGGAGATGATGTTGAGACTTATTGAAATGCAATCCAAGACCCCACCGGCCGTTCAATTTACAAACACTAATTAAGAGTTGACTAGAGAATCCTTGACTAAATCAAACGGGGAAGAGACTTGACGAGAAGAAGATGAGGAAAGTATGCACCATCAAGAACCCCCTCTTTTGGCTCAAATGGAGGGTGGATTAGAGATTTCCGATTGAGGGGTTTGGACTGAAACATTGGGATGGGGTTATGCAAGAGGTATGGAGAGCACGAAGAAAGAAGAAGAGAAGTCCGGATTGGGAATATTAAAGGATGGAATTTTACCTTTTAGATAAATGAGGGGAAACACCGGAGGGAGAGGAGGTTGAAGTTGTCAATTTTCGAGGGGAAAGACATGCATGGATGGGTGTATTGGATGGAACGATACTTCGAGATGAATGGGCTAAATGGGGAGGCTCATGGCAGCAGGGTTAAGTTTGGAGGGGAAAACACTAGCATGATTTCAGTGGAGAGAGGCTAGATACCTGATCCACTCATGGGAGAAATTTAAGGAGTGTTTGTTGGAACGTTTTTGAGTCAATCGAAAAGAATACTTACACGAGCAATTCTTTGTCTTGGCTTGGTAAAAAACTATTATGAAATAAAGGGAGAAATATGAGCTATTGTCGGAATACTGCAAAGAATTTCTAAAACAATATCGTAGAGGAATTTCATGAAGGTTCTAAAGCTCGACATACGTGTAACTCTTTGTATGCTAAAACCACAGTGATTAGAGGAAACTATGAAATTAGAGCACTTGGTTGTAGATTAAAAAAATAATTGAACTGGCTAATAGAAACAACATAAGTGGAGCGTCATACAAAAATGTGACGACCACGATGCTACCAAAAACTCATACAGTGAAAGTCCGGAGGGAGGCTCCCCGAAACATAAATAATGGGCCACGACTTCGAGGGACCTTCAAATGTCTTACAGGAACATAGATTCAATAGAAGCGAGCAAAAAGACTATGCTTTCGATATGATGAAAACGTTGTTCCAAGACACCATTGCAAGGATTGAATATTATAGGTTCTCACAGTGTGATGAGAAGACATGAGAGCTTGAACAAAAAGCAAATTTTTTTATCCACCTGAAGGGCAAGGTGCTTTTTTGGAGGGGAGTATAATGACGTCAGTGCCTACCGTAAGAGAAATTTAATCTTTTATTAGCCTCAAGGCAATTTAGGGTTTGTTTGGGACAGCTGTTGATTATTTATAATGTGCTGATAAACAGATTATTCTGATAATTTGATAATCTGCAGATTATCAGAATAAGCTGACTTGTTGTTTGGAGCAGCTTATTCAGCTTACTGGCAGCTGTTGTTGGATAAATGACTATTCTGCCCTTGTTTAGTTAAACTGTTTGCAACATAATATTATAGGGAAAATAAAAGATAGAACAAAAGTCTCAAACAATTACAGATCAGTTACATAAATTAAAATACACTGCTCATATTTCGTTACCTCAATTCTACAACATGATCAAAAGAGCGCCTAAAACCTAGAACACTACTTACGATCAAAAGCAAGTCAATCTAATTATTGTAAACATTTTAAAGAAAAGACCGAGCATGTTCCAAATCTTATAAGTCGGCTCAAACTCAAAAACAATCTAAAAGCAAATATCACTTATATTTTTACAATTGAGTTTTTAGCTCCATCTCAACAACATATTTAAATAATTCCATGCATGAATACGATAGCTCCAAAAAAAAAAACAACATTCAAAATCACCAAGATAAATTGAGATCAACAAAACGATCCCAACAAAAATGAAAAATCTAAAGGAAGAAGAGCACAAAGTACCAAAGTCTTTACCTATTTTCGGCATATCAATGCAAAACCGATAGAATCGCCATTAACTTCGCCCATCAGCTCAAAAGCAATCGATCTTTCCTAATTCGACCAAGATACAAAGCAAGGCGGAGCAACACGAAAGTCAACCCAATTCTAGGGTTCGCAGCGAAAGCGGAGGAAAAATCGAGAATAAAAGAGGCGAGAGAATCAAAGAAGGAATCAGAGCTTCCTCTAGGCCTCAAAATGAAACGCTAACTAGGGGAGGGCGAGGCGAGGGCGACGGGGGCAAAGAGGGGCACATAGGAATTCTTCACCTAACGTGCGAAGCAGACGCAGGACGTGGCCCCTTCCTCTTTTCTCCATCTATTAACGAAATTTTGTAAGTGCGTCGAAGCGGCACGAAATCGCAGCGCCGAACGCATTTTTCAAACACCCATGCGGTGTTTTCATACCACCACCGCAGTCAATAAGCTGCCCCAAACGGGCCCTTAGTCTTTTATTATTAATTATTGTTTGGTATAAATAGAGCTTAATAGTTTAAGTTTAGAGTTATGCAGAAGATAACAAGTCTCAAGTCGTAGGGTTAGAGTTGGGGAGAGATTTCCTACATCTCGAATTGTAGAATTTGAGAGAGATCGCCAACCTCTCGAATTGTTGGTGCTAATCTTTTACGTATTCATGTGAGTTGCGTTGTGTTGTATTACTTTGATTTGAGATTGGTGAAACAAAGTATTTTAATTTCTATGACAATTAGTCTTGGAGCATATCATAAACATCATGCACGGAACAGTGTCAAAGAACAAAACAAAAACTGTAATGCCAAACCATAATTAATCAGATTTCACTATCAAATAGCTTGTCTATCAAATATGAAATTTTTTCCAAACATTAAGTTGAAATCAGACATTTATTGCATCCCACAGCATTATACTATGTTTATTTATAGTATTAAGTAGGTGTGCTGAATAATACCCGATATGTCATACTTGATAAGTTAACGAGCAAGAAAACAAAATAATAGTTTCAGACTTTTCAGGCATTTTTACATACAAACCACCCATTTCCCATGTACTTACATAGGTAACAGCAAAATTTTAATTTAAACATTTATACGCCTCAAAGTTTACATATCACATAAAAATGTCACAATTTGAACTTTTAAAAAGTGAAATACACATTTTCATGCATAGGCATAGTGGTATGTACGTAAAAATTGAAGTTTAAGTGTTGATATGTAATTGCATAGGAATTGAGTGGTATCTATGTAAATCTCCCAACTTTATAAGCTGGATTCTCTGATAATCAGCTTCCAGAAAAAAAAAGGCCCAAATAAAATAGTTGGCTATCGATTAGAGGAATTCAGCAAGTGAGAGGCTTATACATGTGGACAAATCCAAGGGCAGAGACATTTCAGAACTTATCCACTGAGTTTGTCTGAATGGATTATACAAGACTGTCTTTCAACCTTTTTTTTATTTTATGACAAGGAATCAAAATATTTGCAAAAAAAAATAAAATAAAAACATGATAAAAAAACCAAAATATAGATGAAGAAATTTCAAACACACAAGTGTGACAGCATTAGAGAGACCACTAGTAATAGTTATGACTTGCCATCAATATTTTGTCAAATTGCAACCAATACAATCTAAAACGGTGTTTACTTTAGAATCCCCACTAAAAGAATTTCTAATATTCTGTCGACATTTTGATGATAGAAGACAATGTTCACCTTATAAACCGAATATTCTGTAGTTAACTAAAAAATTCTGCAGATAGAAAACGAATATTTTGTAATTTAATTGTTTATATTGAATTTCCAACATAGTTATAAAGGAGTTACAGCTATTACATAAATGCAACACGTGTCATTGCTGATTCAGAATTAATATTTTAGCAGCTGTTATTTTACCATTTTGTTGGTTTACAATAGTAAATATTTGTAACCCATATGCTATCATTGAATTAATGGCAAAATGTCTCAAGGCAGAGTTCAGGGTGGGATAAATAATTAATTAAGATTCACAAGAAAAACTTCATATCTCATATTAATGGATTATCTTAATCATTTATTGAGCACAAAGGAGCCTCGCTCACAAAGATTTGTGAAACTCTCCTTACTGTTTTTACATAAATTCTCTCATGTATTATTAGAAAATGTTGTTCATTTATAATAAAAAAGAATATTCCAGGAAACTTGAGGAAATACTAAAATGCATGAAAATTTTAAAATTGCATATTATACTCAAACGTCAAAGAAGAGTCCATAAATTAAGTAGCTTATAAATAGACATGCCACGTTGTATGAAACAAATCAAGAACAAGAAGAATTTAAAAAAAAAAATTTGCCTTCACCAAATATTTCCCACTTTTACAAAGTCTTTTAATCCTTTTCATACCAATTTCTACTTAAATCTACGAGAGCTCAAAGCAAAGTTTGATCCAATACTAAGAGCAAACTTTTTCCGGACACAACAATGATTGACGCATTCCTCTCATCCATCCCAAATCCAATTTTTTTTGCAGGAAAATTATGATTTCTGATCTATCAAAATAGAAACCTATTTTTATGCCCAAGATTTGTGTGATGTTATGAATAGGAGATATAATAGTCCTAATAACATTTTTCACTTTAATTATAGCACAAGAAAAATGAGAATCAACATAAACATTTCACAAGCACTTCTTGCAGACTAATATTTCCAAAAAAGAAGAGCTAAAGAAGAATGGGACAAGTTGCAAGAGGAGTTCCTATTCAATTAAAATTTACGTACCATAAAACTACACGACATCAAGTGCCCCTCCTTTCAACATTTGCTAAAAAAAAATCACTTGAAGAAAGAACTACTTAAATAAAAGAAAAACTACAATGCCAAACTAATAAGAAATATAGACATGTAAAAAAACTATTGTTCCAAATAAAATCATCATGCTAAATTCTATAAGAAAAAAAGAAGAAAGATTAATCTCTTCTATGTTCGTAAACCGCATTAAAGAAAAAGGAAAATACCGTGTACTTGGACTAGAGTTGTAACAATCACGGCCTGAGATGAAAATATCTCCTACAATCTTGATAAAATCAAGACAAAAATCAAAATTAAAAAATTTTGATTAAATTGAGGCAGCACTCATAAGCAATATAGCCATCGACATTTAAAAAGGTAAAATAAATATCAATAAGTACTTTAAATAACTCGAATAGACCAAATCTTGTCCACAAATCAGTACCTAAAAGTGAGAATTTTGGTCCTTTTTCCACCCATTATAGTATATGTATATATGCAAGGACCTACAAGAAACCAGTAACAAGTCGGTGGCTCAGTAAAGAAAAATAAATGCGTAGGGGACTAAATTCATACCAGAGCCAAGCCAATGCGATCAAGATTTGAGTGCACATGCATATTAAAAGCCATTAGATTAATGAATTCATACTAACCATAAGAACTAAATGTACAATATGTTAAGCATATCTAGCATTGCAAAATCTCTTTGATTTCACCACAATATTTTAGATTTTTGGTCTTTGAAAATATTAAGGGTTTATTTGGTTTGCTGAAAAAACAATATGGTGTTACAAGTAATGTATTATACTTGAAATAATTTAGGATTGTTTGATTCTAAGTAAAATAATTATAAGACTTTGAATTTTTTTATTTGGTTTGAAGAAAAATGAATTCAATGTAAAATAAACTCGTTGAGGCCGGCAGAAGCAACGAGTGGCCAGGGTTGGCGGTGACAACCAATGGCCTGAGTTGGCAGTGGCAGACAATGGTGAACAGCGGTAGATGGTGATGATGGCAACCGGTGCAAGCAGTAGGGGTGGCGAAAGGCTGTCGCAAAGGTGGCGAAAGGTCGACAAGGGTGGCAAAAGTCCGGCGGCCGGCGGTGTAACTTTACACAAATCGGTGTATATAAAATTTGCCCAAATCCAATAATTCCAAATACATTGAAATTTAACGCAACATTTGTTTTTCTTCCAACCAATCATTTGATATTCTATAGCCCCTGCAAAATGAAAGCATGTTCCTGACCAAACAACCCTTATAGCTCAAAGACTAGTGCTCTGAAAATGCACAAAACCTTATTGGACTACTCAAGCTTTGCCTTTTAAATGATTTTCTTAACTTCAACTGCATTTATCTGACTAGGTTCTTTTCTTTTTTTTTTGGTGTTGAGCTTCTTCGAAACCTTCATTTCTGACATAAATCTTTCTCAACAAATCCATCGTTCTAGTATTAATCAGTTCACCACAGCTGGCATGCACTTGAGAAAATTCAAGTTTCAAAAAAAAAAGAAAGGCATTCTCAAGTCAGCAACACAAATATATTAACAATAGCATTATAAAAAACCTAATCACTTGATTAACTAAAAACTGATAGCACTCTGCTAACACAGGAAACAGATCTAATGTATACGGTACCTGTCAAGTAAAGCAGTACTGTCAAAGGCAGTGACGCCTTATGTTCCATTAAGCACATAACATCATCTGACAAACCAATACCAAGATCATAATTTTACACCGAATCTACTCTTTGGTGGCGCCCTCCAATTTGTTTCAGTGGATTTTCTCTTTCCAATGCTATGCATCTCATTTCTTCTACTCTTACTAGTAATAAGTTCCCTTTCTATAGAACTTGCTCTGATTGGAGATGGCCTTCTTGGTTGAACTTCTTGTGTAGGAAAAGAAAGATTATCATCTCTAACTCCATCATTGTCATCATCACTCTCTTCATCCCCGGATTCAAAATCAGAAGACTCTGAGAACTCATAATCTCCATCCTCTTCCTCCTCCCCCTCTTCCTCTATACCGCTAGCTTCTGCTTCGTAATCTTCATCATCCTCCACTGAATGCCCAACTCTCCTGGAACTCCGATCCTTCTTCTTTTTTTCCCCAGAACTCCTATTCTTATGCATAAGATGAATGTACCGATATCTAATCCCCATCATTGGATGCTTTTCTATCAAAAGATCCCTCCTATAAGCTTCCCTGAGAACAACCGTCTGTGTCCTGAGCTTGTTTGACAAATAAAAGATTCCTGGATGTTGGGTAATCAATTTTTTGAACCTCGCTGGCAGCCCAAGGTGCTGCCCAAGTAAAACTAAATTCTCCATCTCAGTTTTCTTCCCAATCAATAAGTTTAAAACCTCATGAAGAACCCCAACAATCCATTTCTCCTGAATATCACTCTTTGGCGGAAGGTTTGAACCAGATTCGTAGGGAGAAACATAAGGCAATTTTTGCCACTCGTCCAACCACTTCCTTACCTTCTTTTCAAGCTCAAATCCCCTCGAAAAATGTAAAGGGAATGCTAAAGAGGCGCCTTTCTTGTAACCACCAGTCCGCATAGCATAATTCTCCATGGCAGAAATGGCGAGATCTTTTCGATAACATACGAGCTCGATATCTAGGTTATCCCTACCGGATGAAGGCGATATTTGGAAGTAATCAGGGAAGTCGGGTAAGAGAGAGCGAACAAAATCACAGGGGAGGCCGAGATCCCACTGGAGACGGTCGATTAGAGGAAGAGGCAGTCGGCGATAAGGGGCGAGCATCAGGAGGCGGAGGAGGCGATCGGCGGCGTTGTTGCGAGAGGACTCAAATGCGCGGAGCTCCTCGGAGTGGATTAGCATGAGATCGTCCGTGGGACTAATCGAAGGGCGGGGAGGGGAAGAGGAAGAAGATGTAGAGGGATTCGGAGCTTCCTCGATGAAGGCGTTGGGGAAGAGACGGATGAAGCGAATGGCGCGGAATGGGAGGCGGAGGTCTTGACGACGCTCGGAGATGGCGTCGAGGGGAACGGAGGAGGCGGTGGAGGATGATGATGAGAAGTATTGAAGGAGGAAGTCTTTGAGTGAGTGGAACGGGAGGAGGTGCTTCTCCTTCTCAACGGCATGATCGAGGCCACGGTCGCGGACCCAGTGGATGCGGGCGTCGATGAAGGTGCGGGCTTGTACTGCTGAGAAGCAGCGTTGGAGAAGGATGTGGGGGAGGAGGCGATGTTGGCCGGAGTAGAGCGCCGGCGGTGGCATCGGTGAAGTCGGAGCTGGTCGGCGGAGATTTGTGATCGTTTGGCGCGTCCAGGGGGCCTAGGTTTTAAGCAGGGTTTTATCTCCAGCGACCAAAGTTTATTTTGCTATTTAAAACATAAGAATTAAATGGTATGTATGTACTCATGCGCACCTCCTAATCAACTCTAAAATTTGCATATCTACTGCTATTTGCTAGCTAAGAAAAAAAGACCATGAAAAAACCCAACTAAAAAAAATATCACAAGACTCAATATAGTTAGTTCAGGAAGAGGAAAAAAGTATTACATACGGACTTCGGAGAGAAAATAATATTACATACAAACTCCGGATACATCCGGAATCTAATGGTGGGGCACCACGTCTCAAGTGAGCCCCCTCACAATACACTGACATTGTTGAAAGCGGTGGGGCTCACTTGACATGTGGCGCCCCATCATTAGAATGGACTCCGAACGCAAGTTATGTCTGGAATCCGGATGTAATATTTTCTCCAGGAAGAGAGGGTTTCTCACCTCGCAGTCTGAACTGAGTTTCCTCCATGTGGCACATTCAGTTTTCAGCGTCATAATCTTCACAATCACCCACAGATTCAGGGAGCTCATTCCTGTTTGGATCTTTCACTTGATTAGCGTCGTCGTCTTCATACAGCTGGGAACTCACCACCTGGCCTTGAAGGTCTTTGTGCTTCAAGTTACCTGCCACATTGCCAGATGAAATCTTGATGAGGATGTCTTATGTAAATATCCCTATTCTTAGAGATATGTACCTGGCATGGAATTTTTAAAGTATTCACGGATCTAATTCGTAAATTTCTAGAGGTTTACATGCATACCATTCTATTCTTATGGATTTGCATATCCAACACCTAAACTTCAAATTTTAGATATATACATGTCACCTTAGGTAGGCATGAAAATGTATATTTCACTTTTTTAAAATTAAAACGTTGGTACATTTAATGTGATATGAAAGGTTTGTGAGGTACAAATGTAAAAAATAAAGTTTAGGCGTTAGATATGTAAATACATAGGAATTTGGTGGTATGTATATAGATGCCCGAAATTTTTATATTTATATAACATATAAATCTTTTAACGTCAAATCAAGATGTCATTAATTGTTTAGATCTAAATGCACTTTTCATGATATATTTTGATAAGAGTATGAACACTTGAATGTTATAAAATTATATTACGAACATTTAGATATTGAATTATATACACAACAATTACACTATGTATGTAAATATCTGTCTTATTAAACTATTGATGGGACAATGTTAAGACTGAATTTGCTTTAACAAAAGTGCAACATAAGGCTAATTTATTATTTAGACATTGCACTGGACCTAAAACTATCAGGACTAAAAGCTTATTTTTTTGGGTGGGGTGATACTCAAACTCGACAAATTGAGTTTCTTCATTTTATTTCTAATCAATTTCTATTTGGAGAAAATTTGGTCCACATGAATGCAGACAATCCGACATCATGTCATGCTTAGATGAGCACAAACAGTTCTCAAAGACCTATTGCTACTAATAATAAAATCTTTGCCACGGCATCGAGTTGTGCCTATGCAAATGGTGCAAACACAACGAGCTTTATACTGCTAATGGAGGAGGAAATAAAGAAGTACAGCTATTGTGGTGAAAGATTACCCATCCAGAAAGTGCAGCCGCTTGATGAATTATTATGAAGAAGAGCCTTAACATGGAACAGGAACTTCTCCAAGGACCTCTTGGTGGCAGGAACCTTGCTTGTAACCATCGTCCGTTTTGACCCCTTGCCAGTGACACAAAAATATAAGATATCAGATCAAATAATAAACCGAAAAAAATAAGTGGTTCAAGATATAACGGCTCAATTAGAATTGAATAGGGAGTTGAACCAGATGATGTAATGAAAGATAAAGTTATTTTAATATGATTTAAATAATATCATAATAATTCAATAATGATATTTTAACAATTCATATAAATATATTAATTTTGGATGTTTCATCTTTTAATATTTTAAATAAGATTTTAAATCAAAATTTTGAGATATTATATTTTCTTAATTTTTAATTTAAATTCTTTATTTCTAGCCATTTAATCAAAATTCAAAATTTAAAATTGATCAATTTTAGAGCTGCTGGTTATTTTAAAATCAGATTGATCAACTCCACTTGTGATGTTCAATCATGTATCCATGTAAAAGCATCTTTGGGCCTATGGACAATTTGCGAAGAATTGGCACACGGTTAAATCAGTCAGGCTAGCTTGTTTGGTTCAAATTTTAAAACTATGTAAAATGATAATACCCTCTGGGTTCATTTTTATTTTATTTCTGCCTTTTTTTTAAATATGTTTGCCTAGTGTAGCTTTTAAAATTTTTATTTTTTAATTAATTTATTTTAAAAACACATAAAATCTTTTAAATTTTTTATGTTTTTAAAAACTAACCATTAGAGCACATCAAACATATTCTACTTCAAATCAAAATATAAAAAAAATAAAATTATAAATTATAAATTATAAACTAAAAATAAAAAAGATCCCAGGCAACCTTTTAAGTTCTGGGTGATAATGGGTAAGAGAAGAGAGAGACAGATAATGGGTAAGAGAGAGACACACCTTAGCCTCAGAGCACAAAGCCTGTATAACTCGTGTTGCCTTCTGAAATTCTTTGAACTAGACAATCATGACCACTATTTAGGAGATCGTAAAATTTTAGAAAGATTTACATACATACCGCTTAATTCTATATATCCACATATCTAACACCTAAACTTTAATTTTTAAAAAGTATATGTCACTGTACTTGTGCATGAAAAGATGTATTTCACTTCTTAAAAGTTAAATAGTGGTATTACTTGTGATATGAAAGAATTGGGTGGCATAAATATAAAAAGCAAAGTTTAGATGTTAGATATGTAAATGAGAAGGAATTGGGTAGTACGTATGTAAATGCCCCATAGAGAAATACTGAATGAATAAGAAAACGATTCACCTTACCATTTGAATTATCAATTCATAGTGTGACTGAAACTGGGCTTGCAGGAAATCAAAAGCTGAGAAAAATTGTGCTTTTATCAGAAACATGATAGCAGTTTCTAGGAAAATTGGTGACTTTTATTCGGGGTTTTACCTTTCAGAAAAAGGTCAACAAACTTGCCTCCATATTTGACTGCCATGGCATGCATTGCTACCTGCAAACATCAAAGATATCATTTGGAATGATTGGCTCCGTCCAAATTTTCTTCACAAGACATTAGTTAAACGATAGCTTTCCCTTAATCCTTGTATAGTATTAATGTGTAAAAATGAGCTCAGATAAAAAAAGGTGAATTTACATGCATACCATAATTTTTATATATTGACATATCTAACACCCAAACATGTATGTATATATTTATACCACTTCGGTGTCATAAACCTACCCATGAAAAAATATATCTCACTTCTAAAAAAATATTTTTTTAAGTGATATTAAAGAAGTGAATCTCATGTATGCAAATATGAAAGTTTAGATGTTAGATATGTAAATATCTAACAATTGTGGGGTATTTATGTAAATGCCCAAAAATTTTTTAAAAAAAATTAAACTCTAGCAAACCATTATTAATTGTAAATACGAAAAAGTACTTCAGTTCATAACACATTAATTAATGCAGCAACATGGTTTAGTTCATAGGAAAAAAAATTACAGGTTGAAACTATCCTCCTAGCTGGCTGTTCTAACGAAACCGGGCCATTGTCAAGCTTTGCAAACTAAGGATTTATTTGGGATCAATTTTAGGGCTTGTTTTGGATCATTTTTTTTTCCTTTTTTCTTAAAAATATGTTTATTAGGTGTGTTTTTTACATATTTCTATTTGTTGTTTCTTAAAAATAAAATAACATAATTTTTAAAACAATCAAAAAAATGTTTAGTTGTTTTAAGTACTTTAAAAAGAACTATATCTTAATCAAACATATCAAACATTCTTCTGTTTCAAATCAAAACATAAACAAAACAATATAAAACAAAAAAAAAAAATGAAACAAAAAATAAAAGTGATCCCAAACAGCCCCTTATATTTTTGTTTTTAATATTTTTTTAAAGAACATTTTTGTTAGTGTATTTTCTTTGCATGTTTTTATTTTTTATTTTAAAAAATAAATTAATTTATTTTTAAAACACTCAAAACACCTAAAAATTATTCTTGAGTGTTTTTTTTTAAAAAAACTAACAGCGTAACATAGTAAATATTTTTTATTTGAAGTAGAAGCATAAACAAAACAAAAAAAAAGATAAATAAAAAAATGATCCCAAATGGCCTCTAAGTTGAGCAAAAAGGATATAACAACTACTGCAAAGAATAAATGCTACCTTGTCATGAATCTTGCATAGGCTGACTAAAGAAACAACCACATGGACTGATTGTTGGATCTTTAACAACATTTTTTCTGCAGCCTCCCTTTGAGTAGTTTTTCCATGCATCATCTTCACTTCCTTAACCTGTTCATTAAAAATTATAATCTTAGGAGATTTATTGTAATAATTTGTCAAAAAACAGTAACTAGAATGCCTAAGATGCAAAATTGTTAGTTCCATCACCCACCAGCTTACTTAAAACATTGATGTTCTCTTCGTGCTGCATCCAAAACGATAGTTTTTATAAATAACTGAGGCAGAAAAGAAGGAAAATTAATAAAGGTGACCAAACAGATACAAGGAATACTTACCAGTACCCTGTACCATGTAAGAAGAGTGGTTGGGCCCAAAGTTGGAAAGCCATGTGTAGCATCTTGTGATGTAATAGTTTTAACCGAAAGAGCCTGACATTGATATATCACATATATTAGTGGTTTTCAAAGTTTAATTCGCAATACCCATTGCACAGTAATCATTCAAATATTGCATAGATGACTTGTTGAAGTTTCAGTCCGTCAAGGAATGGTACCAAAATTGGAACACAATTTGTTGGATTCAAAATTTTATGTGGACAACACCAAAACATTACTAACAAGCCCAACGAGAAAGAGAATAAGAGATTGGAGAAAAAATGAATCAAGAGTGAGAAGCTAAGGGCATGTTTGGGACCACTTTTATTTTATGTTTTTGTTTTTATTTTGCTTTTGTTTTAAAAACAATATTGTTTAATGCATTTTTTGAATCTTTTCATTTTTAGTTTTTAAAAATAAATTAACTTGTTTTAAAAAATACTCAGAAAATATAAAAGTTGTTTTTCAGTTTTTTAAAACCAACTAAAAAAGTTATACACTATATCAAACATGTTTTCTCTTGAATCATAATATTAACATAAAAAAAGAAAAGAAAATGATCTCAAACAGCCCTTCAAAGATTTCTCTGAATGAGTTTGAGTGCCGAAATGCCTCCCCTTGGGCTCTAGCCCTAATTTCTTATTAATGGATTTGGTTCAAATCTTGGCGCACTTAAAAAAAACTATATATTTAGAAAGATTACATAGCAATGCCAATGGCTGCTAGCTGGTAAATAAATAAGGCATGTAGCATAATTAATATTAGTTAATGACAAATTTATATTATAGCCTTGAGAGCCTAAGGCAATTGGCTTATTGATTAAAGTTCTCGGCATAGTTGAAAAAAGTTGCTAACTTAGCTAACCAACTTGCTTGGACGAAAGCTGAAAGGTACCTCATTATTTTACAACTCTTCGTCTTAAAATCTAGAATTTTCACTTGGAATGACCTTACAATCTTTACAATCACGACGATCTCTTTTTCTCATAAGAAAATAATCAATTTGTGTTTTATTAGATCCAGTCTTATAAGTAATAAGATGCTCATCTCTTTTCTTGAATAAAGTATTGTAATAACAAAATCATACGCTAAAGTAAAATCTAAAATAGTTCTACCTTCTTAATTATTTACTCCAAAACCGTAGCCACCATGAGTATTTCTGAAGTCTTCTACCACTCTACCGACATGTCTATTTAAATCTCCTCCAATAAAAATTCTTTCTTCAAGAAGTATCATTCGTATTAAGTCTTCTAAGTCATTCCAAAATTTATCTTTAGACCATGTATCTAAACCTACTTCAGGAGCATAAGCACTTATAATATTAAAAATCTTAGTACCAACGATAACCTTAAGGGCTAAAATTCTATCTCCAACTCTATTAATTTTTACAACTTTTTACAACATTATTTTTCTTACAACATTATTTTTCAAACTCTTATCAATAATTATACCTACACCATTTCTAGTGCGACTCTTACCAGAATACCAAAGTTCAAAACCTAAATTATCAATCTCCTTAGTTTTTTTCTGCAACCTATTTAGTTTTTTGAATACATAAGATATTAATTTTCCTATGAATCATAATATCAACTAATTTCATTAATATACCATTGGGAATACATATATTCCAAGATCCTATCCTAATATTAGTTTCATTAGTTTCTTAGACTAACTTTTTTACCCGCATTCGCCCGTAATGCGGGAACCCTTGCTTATTTGACACTACACCAGGGCACCGGTGTAGCGGCCCTTGCACACTTTTCATTATATTCAGGCTATACAGCGTGTCGCTTCTAGGGGACGCCCAAACACTTACACAATGATCAAAAGGATTCATGTCATGATTTTTTTCGACAAGTTTTACGCTGACTGTCAACAACCTAACGCAACCCTTCTCTTTTCACATCCGGACTTGACCGGCAATGACAGTGTTTGCAAAATGATAAAAGAACAAAAAAAAATCACCATTTTTTACTTTACTGAAAAGTTATTTATAATGAGTCATAATAATTCAAAATTGATAGTCAGAACTCTCATCCATCAAGATATTATCTGATTCAATGGCCGCACGATTTTGCCCTATTGGTTTAACTTCTCGGGAGGTCGCCCATCCTATAAGTGCTCCAGCACAAGTACACTTAACTTTGGAGTTTCTATCAAAACTCTAACCGTTAAAACAAAAGACATTCTGGTGTTTAAGAGTTCAGTTTCATTCTACTTAAGAGATTTCACCGTTTATGATTCTAATAATGAAATTGTTTGTCATTTTTTACCACATCAACATTTTTTAAAATAAAAAACTATGATAATGAAATTCTCTTTAAAACTTTACGGATTATTTTATCTTCTTTACCTTGAGTGTAATTTTTTACATTTTTAAATATGTAATATCTCAAACAATATGAGGCGGGGTTGTTAAACTTTACATTTTTACATTTTACATTTTTAAATTTTTCATTCTACATTTTACGTTTTTAAATATGTAATATCTCAAACAATATGAAATTCTCTTTTAAACTTTACAGATAACCCCATCCCGCCGGTCCAGCCTTTCTACTGTACTTAAGGGCAGGCATTCGGCCTCGCCTTATTTCCCCCCCCCCCTAGTGCCCCCCGATTCACTCGCCTCTTCTTCTTCCATGCCGTAGTTCCTCGTTGCTCGTAGCCAATGCAGTTAGTCGTTTCTCCCTTCCATTTTTTTCACCTCCTTCCTAGGATCTTGCCTTTGATGTCCTTCTTCCCCACCTATTTATGCACATTTTTTTGGTGTGATTTCTGGTTTTGGGTTTGCCACGAAGGCGTTCCCCCTCCCGAGGACCTGTTTCCAACGGCGAGAAGTGCTTCGGCTGTACCTCGCCTAAGGTAGTGATTATTCCACTTTATTGTTGTTGTCAACCGCTCCTACGCCTCCTCAAGCAGGCCACAGGACCCTCCAGTCCCTTCTAGCTCTCCAAAAGCTGCCTTCCATGTCCACACCTTCCCCAGTCAGTCGCAGCATCTCTAGGTTCCATAGAGCCCTCTCCAGATGCTGTCTTCAATTTCTGTGCCTCCCCCAGTCAGTCAGAACACCTCTAGGTTCCACTCAACGCTCCTCTAGTCGCTGCCTACCTTTCCTGCGCCTCCCCTGTCAGTCGCAGCACCTCCAGACCATCCCAACGCAACTCCAGCCACCGCAATCCCTCCCGACACCCTTTCCAGCAAGCTGCAATACTTGCAATCCTCTTTTGGCACCCATCCAGCGCTGATGTTCACTCTAACGTTCACCTAGCCGTCACCAGCCCTTTCGGCGGAGTCTCAACCACCACCGGGCGTTGTCCAGGACTGTTCCTGTCCTTTAGTAGTACTTGTTTTATTCCTTGTTGAGTTGCTACTTCATATATTATCATTCACATGTTTGTATTGTTTTCGCCAAAGAGTTCATGTTGTATTTCTTTCGAAATCAACAATAAAATTGTGGCGTTTCAGTCGTAGTTTGGGTTAACTTTGGTATCACAATACATGAAATATTGCTAAAGAATATCATCCATACTATCCTTAAAAGACATCGAGAAGACACATTAGGTCATAAATGGAAAAATACAAGAAGAATGTCTCCCTGCGATGAAGCCAAAAACAGAATAAAATAAAGTTGGAGGCCGGAAAACAAACATAGAAAACATATCCTCGCACGGCCACACCCTAGCTAAGTCAACAACTCCAAATCTCCCTTTGAATGTTCCTCAGAGGAGCCAACTGCTTTGAAGTAATCAGCAGACAAGTTCTTGATTCCTCTAAACCGACAATCAGCTCTAGCAATAAAGGCAAAGAAATCGCCAAGCTCCCTTGAAAAAGAAAAAACTTCCTTAAAAAACCATTTTACGAGTTTAATAAATGCCTACAACTTTGATCTTACTCTGCCAAAGAAAGATATTTCTTACATGAATTTTGATCTCATCCTAGCAATATTTCTGCTTCGGTCAACAAAAAACTCAAATTATTATCTACTCAACATCCTTCTTCGAGAGATGCAAGGTATAATGTTATAAGTTGGCGTGCAAATTTCATGTTGTTGTTGAGTCATGGACGACCAGCAAAGCAAAGTGAGAAGAAGTTTGATTAGATAAAGTCGTTTCAGAGAAGATATGAAGGCCTGAAGAATTTTTTGATGGAGTAGAATTTTGATAGAGAGTACTTTTAGAATGATGACTTAGGGTCTATTTGAGCAGTTGCAGCTTATTAATAAGCTGCTGCATAGCAACCCCCACAAAAAGCTGTTGCGGATAAACTGGTTGTCTGTTTGTTTTTTGTAGTTTCAAAACAATTGTGTTGTAGCTGTTTTTTGACAAATGATCATTATGCACCCGTATAATAATGTTGTTTGCAACAGAACTGTTCATACCAGCACATTTCATACTTGAGATCAAATATTCAGTGCAGAATATTACAAAACAAAGAGACGCCTCACCAATCATGAACGTATAAAAGCAAGCATAAAACCAGAATCCAACAACTAAAAACAAACACCCATTTCCAAGTCATCGCACGTTGGATTCCCAAATATTCCAAAATCCAACATCAACTGAAAACCAATTAACCATGAGCAATTGCCAAATCAAAAACCACAAATTCTCGAGCACAGTAGGCATTAACGAACAGGAAGGGGAACAACCGCACAGAGGAAACCACCAAATTCTAGAGAATAAAGCCTTTTGCAAAATCAAAAGCCACAAAAAAGTTAGTGTACAAATTCCTCAGCACGAAGAAGAAGCACCGCACAGAGGAACCACTGCAAAGAGGAAACCACGAAAATCTCGACCATATATGCATTTCCAAAAACAAAAACAACAGCATAGTTAAGGTAAAGATTACCCAACAAGAAGAGACACCACAACACAGAGGAACCACCACATAGATGAACCACAGCATAGAGTAACCACCGTACAAACAAAACATAGCACATATGAACCACCACATAGAGAAAACACCGCACTCACAAACCACCGCACGAAGAAAAATCAACGCACTCACAAAGAACCGCAAAGTAGATAAAGGAGAGGGAGAAGAGAGCTCACCGAG